ATCTTCTAAAGAATAATTCTATGCTCAACAAAATGGCAACAAATACAGATTTCTCTGAGTATAACAAAAGCATAGAAAATAACATTTTGTGGATTCATCCTGTGACAAAATTGTTGGTTTCTTCTATTCTTCTCAATTAAACAATTTTTGGTTCATCAGAAGCAGAGGAGGAAATATTGAGATTATCAAAATATTGAGCTATGCAATATTAATGCAGGAATTTTGACATGGACAGTTTCCCCTTATGAAAATTCTGCACTCAACCCACCATCTGACTGTTTGATTTTCCCTTTTCCATGCAGATACCATATCATCTTGCCATTATATTACATGCTTTTTAAAGTCATTAACATTTTTATTCCTTTTTGTGAAAAAAGAAAATGCAGTGAGGCAACAAGGGCAATGAGTGGGCAATGGCTTGAAGCCAATCTTAGTTACCTTATTATTTAGCTGGAAGGAGCACTGAGAGTCTCATAGATAAAACTGACCACTGAGAATCGCAATGACAAAAATTCACACAGAAATTTTTTTAAAAAAAGTTTTATTCTTAAGAATGATTCCTTATTTGTATTTGGAAAATAAATGGATGCTATTTAAAATTTGATTTTCTTATTTTCAATATTAAATTCTTCCCTTGTGTTTTGATTGTTCTAGGAAAGTAATTTGAGATGATTTGCTATTTTATTTCATCTTTCTTGATATTGTGTATTTGTGTCCCATTTCTTTTAACACACTCACATGATTTATTGTTATGTGAATTTCTTGTAGGCCAACAATATCAGCTTTGTAAGTTTTTAATGTATTAAAAAGTCACTTGCATTTATGAGGTAAGTTTAGTCCATTTTCCCCAGGACAATTTGGAGCAACGTATAAAATGAAGTACCTATTTTTAGCAGCTCGATGTTTTTAATCACAGAAATTGGAAAACTAAACCCAAATGAACAAGACAATGTTGATCTCACCAAATGAAAATGGACATTAACTAAGAGAGGAATAATAATTATTAGAAACTGTTGAGTGATTTTCAAGGATATCCAAGTTTGTTCATTCTTAATGCATTAAATGGGAATTGGGTTAGATTTCAGCAATATATGCATGAGGATTCAATCTGTATAAAAATGAATGCTCAACATTGAGCTGTTCCATAGATTGTTTCAGCCTTTTGTTCCATGAATTGACTGTACCGATATTAATAAAATGTAGAAAAGGGGTACAGTAATAAAATATGCATAATACTTGTTACTTTGGCTCTATCTTAGAAAATTAGCATTTTCTGTCAAAGCTCTATTGTTCTATATCACACTTGGCTCATGCGCTAGAAAAATAAATAGGAGATTAATATATCTACCACAGCATGTACTGCTGATTGAATCAATTAACAAGTTTCAAATCGATAAACATTAAGCCATATTTACTTTAATCTGATTTACATAGTTACAATTATTAAAGAGTATGAAGACTTCTATTAGGGTAATTAAATTATACTGTGATTAAATTTTCAAGATCACAGTGGGCAGCAAATAGGATCATCTAGCTGATTATTTAATTCATGGAAGAAAGTGACCTGGCAACAAAATGAACAGACAATATTAAGTGAGGTTCTCAAGGCACAAGAAGATTGTGTACATTGTGAATATGGATCCTTGCATTGTTTAAACATTGATGCCCTATTGACATTGCTACTGTTAATAGTTATGTTTAGTGTTTGTCTTCAGTATTGTCTCCATTGGGTGAAATCTGATGAATGGAGACTTTTTCCAGTTGGGAGAAGGCTACAGTTGCAAAGTTATTTATATTTAATTTAATTGAAACAATAAATGACACAAAATATGTCCAAATATGTCCATTTATTTAATCTCTGTCATCACCTATTTATAATTATAATAGGTCTCTTTTGAAATTGCTTTCTTAGGAGAACGTTTTAAAGCAAATAATAAACACTAATGTAGAATCTGTGCTTTTACAAATTTTGCCTTAAATTATTCTAAAGCTGTTGTCACGTATAAACCCATCTAAAATATAAATGATGAGCTATTTTTTCAAAACTTCTGACAGACAATAAGCGTACTTATGTTGCTAGTTATTGATGGATAAATTTGATCAACAAATAATAAAAAGCTACCATTATATTGATGTTACATTCTATCTTTATTAAAGCATTATTATATAGACAAGATTATACTCTACATTTGTACAGTTAGTCCTTGACTTACAACACTTCGTTTAGTGACATTTCAAAGGTACAATGGCACTGAAAAAAAAATAACTTGTGATGTTTTCATACTTACAACCGTTGCAGCAGCCCCACTGTCACATGATCAAAATTCAGATGCTTGGCAATTGACTCCTATATATGATGGTTGCAGTGTCCTGGGTTCATGTGATCTCCCTTTTGTGACCTTCTCACAAGCCAAGTCAAGGGGGAAGCCAGATTAACAACAGTGAGCAATTTGACAACTACAGTGATTCACTTAACAACTGTGGCAAGTAAGGCTGTAAAATGGGGCAAAACTCACCTAACAAATGTTTCACTTAACCACAAAAAAATTGGGCTCAATTGTGGTTGTACATTGAGGACTCCCTATAGTAAAATCCTTAATACCAGGTCTATTTTTCCCTATCTTTGGCCAAAGGTGATAGAACTGGAAACAGAAATTTACAATTGAATTGATTACTGACCCATATTCATAACTCACTCAGCTCATAGCCATTTCTATTCTTGTTTAATTGTTGTATTTAACCCTTATAAACCACTCAGATCATGTATCAGTGGATAGGAATATAAATCATAATAAATAAATGCTAAAATTGCATATGTAAATGTTTCTGCCACAACTGTTCTAAAACAAAAGTGTCTAAAGATTCAGAAATTAAAATACTATAGGTACTAGTCTCACAAATATTTATTTTTGGAAGAAAAAGTACAAAAAATATTTTTAGCTTGCTTTCATCTTATTTATCTACTGTAATGACTGACTACTGCATGAAAACAAGGTTACCCAAAATTCACATTAGAATTCTTGTTTCACATCATGCACAAAAAATAGCAATATTCCTGAAAAACAATGATAAGCATGCATGTGATATCTATTTTCAGATGATAAAAATTATTATAAAGTGAAAATGATGAAATTCTATCATGGATAAATATGTTTAAGAGATTTATGAACATCTTTACTTCATGTAAAGATTAAATGGTTCAAAATATTGTAAAAATATTGTAAAAATATGGTGCTTCTATAAATACATCCATGGTTAGGAACCAGGGACAAGAAATAAATATTATTATAATTCTTGTTATTGTTCCCACAAAAACAGCTAAATATAACCAGTAGAAGAATTTTAAAAGTCAGAAGAATTAAAGATTCTGTCTTATGCACAGTCACTAATACAATTATTAGGAATAGATGAAGTCCTCTTCCACAGAGATGTCTCGTCATAGTCTACTAAGATGAATTATCTACCAAAGAGGCAATGAAAAAGCAGAATTGGAGAAAGAAGATGCCAAAATTGATCATTAAGAACCTAGATCAGAGCTATCTGCCAACATCCTTTGAGTTTGCAATCAGTCTTTCTGGCACAGCTTCCAAATTCATGATCATTATTATGTTCAGAACAAAAGGATAATGAGGCACAAGAGTGACAGATTGTTTGAAAGAATGTCTTGAAAACTTGGCCTATTTGGGAAAATGGTTTATTCAGCAATTGGTCATCACTCTCTTATGCAACCAGTCTTATCAATACCAGCAAGTGTGGAGGCCAAGCACCTCTACTTTGTAAGGTTCAAATGCTGAAACAAATTTAAATACTCCATCTTTATACTTGCAGTGATTACCCAAGTTTTTTGTTTATTCTGATAGTAACTGCTTTGCAGCTCACTCCTTAAACTTGCCACTAATGCTGGAGCTTAAGAACTACAATTCAGAACTAGATCATACTCATGCTTTTGTGTCCCACTTTTATGACATTTGCTTGAGTTGATTTTTACCAAACATTTTATGTTGGTAGACTCACCCAGCCACAGGATCTATCGCTTATTCAAACATAGTAACACATTTTATGTAGGGGAAAGCTACTCTGACTTTCCACAAATGTTGTAAATCTTCATTTTCACATATGGTATGTTAATTAAATCATTTTATTTCCTCCTAAGAATGCTTCCCTGGTGGTTAGTAGCATGTGAAATGGGCAAAAATGGAACGAAGCAGATAGTCATCTCAACATGGCATTAACTGTTGTTCAAGGATCTAAACAATGTTGGAGGGTGAATGCACTGCATGTTGAGAGTTCTTGATAATGGAAATCAGATTTTATAATTATAACTGATTTATTTGCAAGGAAAATAATACAGGGATTGGCCAAGTATAGTACCTAGCTAACAACATCTTACTGGGAGAATCAAAGAGCATATACTCCATTTTCATGTACCTGGGAACCAGTGGTGAGTTGCCCCCGGTTTGGACCGGTTCTACAGAACCAGTAGTAAAACTAGCGGGAGGCTCCGCCCACTGACCCTGACGTCATCAGAAGCGATCTGCGCATGCGCATGCGATCCCTGGTAGTAAAGGTAAGTAAAACCCATCCCTGCTGGGAACAGAAGAAACCAATATAAAATTTGCAATCTCTTAGACAAAGAGCACAGAAAACAAAGTAAATCTTCCATCTATACTCAACTACCCCCTTCTGGTTAATAGATCTTGAAATATTGAAAAATCAGTATCATGGAATTTTTATTTCCAACAAACTACATCTTGAATTTTATCCCTCAAAAATTAGGGATTTGTGATTATATAAATAATTATAGATTTATTATTCATGGAGATAGTCAAACACATAATTGTAAATCCACAATATTTTAATCTTTCTCCTTTTGGTTTATAGATATATGCTCAATTTTCAATTATGGATTGGCATTTTATTAACACAATGAAAAGACAATTAAATATATTTTTGTTTAGTTAAGATTTATTTATTTATTTTAAAATTAGAATGAATGGTACCTTTGGTATATATTTCTGTATATATATATATTGCTTCTCTTCTTCCTATTAAAAATAAGGAAAAAGTTATTGATATCACCAGGAATTGAGAGAGCAAAGAACAGACAGATCTCATAAATCCAACTCCAGGTAGAGTTAGACAATGAAAAAGTTATTACCTGGAAACTCCCTCAGTAGGGCAAAATGCATAATTAGCATTTTGTTAAGCAGTCCATTGTAAGAAATCAGCTTTATAGTTTCAGCAAATAATTATTTTAGCCTTTCACTGGATGATTGCACAATTGCTCAAAGATTTGTACTGTAATAATCTGAAAACTTCTTATACTTTATTTTAGCATTTTGATCTTCCACCTCTACATAGTGAGTTCTATATAAGAAAAGTATATAGAAAAACATCTTCTATCTTATATTCATATATATATATATATATATATATATATGGATCTACGTATGTATATATGTTTGTTTAAGCATAACTCTGGAATGTCTTGAGCAATTCCAACCAAACTTGGTACATAGATGACTTACCCTCTGGACACAAGCATTGTCATGGTAAGACACCCCAACACCTTTTGGGTGTGTGTGTGTGTGTGTGTGTGTATGTGCGTGTGCGCACATGCGTGTGTGTTACAGAATAACTCTAGAACGCCTTGAGCAATTTCAACCAAGCTTGGTACACAAAGACTTACTCTCTGGAAAAAAATACTGCAGGGCTAAGACACCCCTAACACCCCTCGGGGTGTTAATATGTGTGTGTGTGTGTGTGTGTGTCCTGGAACCCAGGTGGCACACAGAGCCGAGTTTAGCTCCACTGCGCATGTGCAGGGGCAGGGGGAGCCCAGGGATGTGTGGCACAACCCCCCCCCACAGCCCGTTTTGACTGTAGGGAGGTGTACTAGACCAAAAATGGGTTGTGGGGGTGGGACAACCCTCCTGCAGCCTGTTTTGGCTCACAAAAGGCTGCAGGGAGGCCTACTAGGCCCGGGGTGGTCATGTGCACATGCACAGAAGGCGGGGAATTAGGATGAAAAAATACCCGGGCACCGCAAGGTCATCAGCTAGTAAAATATATAAAAAGGTGAAATGTACTACATAGTATCTATTCTCTCTACTGCTTTTCTTTAGTTCATACAGCCTTCGCTGTTTGCTCTGATAGGGAAACATTTTTGAGCTCAGTACAAACAGTATCTTTAGGAAGAGAATGGCTGTATTCATTCTCAAATAGAGTAGCTGTCTACTTGACACTGTTTATATTTAGAAAAAGAAAACTGAAGGAAGGAAAGGAGGCTTAATTTACAACTGTCACTTCAATGTGAACTTTCAAAATAATGATGGTGAAGCAGGGGAAAACCAAAGGGGAGCTAGCATAAGATAGATTTTCATAAGGATTTCTAATATGCAAATGGGGCTCCATTCTCATGTTTAATTCCATATTTATTAATATTTTTTCTTTATTTCAATTAAAATCACACTTAAAGGTTAAGCAGCCAAGTTACTTTCTCAAATACCTTAAAAAGGACTTTTTAAGCAGTTACTAACTTAGAATTAAATTCCAGATTTTTGTTGTGGTATCTTTTTATTGAGGTAGACCAGATGAATGCCCAGTCTGCTTGTAATAAAGCTTCCAACAAAGTTTCAGTGACTGAGAGAGCAGACCTAGCTTGTGTTCTGAGGACATGGTTGGAGATGAAAAGTTGTCTTACCTTCTCAGAAATTTGCCCTTTTATTTGCGATTTTGGACCATGCTCCAGTTGTGACAGGGGAGGTAGTGTGCCAATTGTCATCAAGGATCTGCTGGTGCCAAAAATGATTATCTGTAAGGCTTTGATGTTAAGGTTGAGCCCTAGTCCTCTCAATTGGGGATGGTACATCAAGGTTTACAACCTTTTTCATTTCTAATCAATATCAACATGAAGCCACCAGACTAGATTCAACTGCAACACAGTGTCAGATTACAGCATAATGATAATACTCATGTCTACATTTCAATCCAAAACTGAGTAAGTTGAAATATTGTCCATCTGTCAGGGGTCAATCCAGGTTAGGATGAAGAGAACCAGGTTGAAATTCAGTCGCAGCATGATAAGGTGACTATGAGTTAGAAAGGTATCTCTCTTCAGTGCAATTCCATTAATTCTGAATGGAATTGCACTCCAAAATGGAGATGGTTCATAATCTGGAGATCATTTTAGCTCCTGCCTGAGGAGAAGATATCAGTGTGGCTAGCAGGGCCTTTATTCAGATCCATCTAAATCCAGCTGGCACTATTCACTGTTACTAATGATTTACACAACTTTTGATTGAACTATTGTAATGTCTTCTACATGGGATTGCACTTTACATCATTCAGAAGCTGCAAATGGTCCGGAGTGAAGTGGCTCAAATAGTAATGAATGATCTATCCCCAAATGTAACTACTTCAAAGATTGCATTGGTTCCAGTTTGGATTTCAGGTGCAATTCAAGGCAGCACCTTTAAGACTTTTTACCATTCTAGACCTAATTATATGCAAACTGTCTTTTCTTTCTAACATCTCCCTATATCTTCTAGTAAGATTTACGCTTCAGTTAGAGACTCTCATCATCATAGACCATGAAAGCATACCTTTCATTTATTGTCCCCTTACTCTTCCTGATATGAAATTAATCCATTTCCTTCTCCAGCTTTTAGGAAGCTGGAGAAACCTTGATTCCACTATAATGGGAAATTTTATCTTTCCTCAAGGTTTGTATAGTCTTGTAATTAGCCACTATAGTGAAGAAGGCCTGTCATGAAGGCAGCTTCTGCTAGTGTGTAGAATGAAGTTGAAAATCAAAGAGGCTAATATTCATTGGCTTTAATGATGTCTACCCTAAAAGTGGGAATGCTATGCCCTTCATCCACACAGTAAATGGGTTAATCCCATCCTCACTATATAAATGATATATGCACGAATACTAAAATTCTGGTTTAGAATGAATCATGCCCTTAACCTCCTATGCTTTGAGCAGGATGTCCACATTCTATTACTGGGGTAACTTTGCTCTAGTCACAGAATATGAAGCTTTAGTCATAATATTATAGATGTCAATCAATTTTGCTATCAGCCTCTGCTATCAAACCACAGGCTTCTTCCTCATCTCTAGCTTGATTTGAAAAGGAAAGGTATATATGGATAAGTGCAATAACATCCATTCAAAATCATACACAGTGGTTAAAATATTGGTTTATGCCTTAGATCTCATCTAGGCAATCATAAAAATAAGTCTGAATCAGCAGACTATATTTTGCTCTGTTCCATGTAGAGTTTTTGAAATATTATTTTAATCAAATATGGCTGCAAGCTTGAAATTTGAACAAAAAGACCTAATATATAGGTTTTACTCTTCCTACCTCCAGATAATTTTTCTATTAGGTTTTACTATGGTTTATATTTTCAGTGCCCCAAACTCCCTAATAAGATAACTTCATCAGCAATTTTCATAACAATAAGCTTAATTGTGGTAAAGTGCAATAAATAGAAAAAGAGCAACAGCACAAAGAAAAAAATCAATTAAAGAGACTAAATCTTTAGAAATACATTTATTTGATGTGGTATTAAAAATAAATTATTTGCCTCTAGGTGAGCTACCCCCAAATGAGATAAAATGCCAAGGCAACAGAAGGTTTGGTCTTTTCTCACTGCTTCTTTGAACAGATTATGAATAGATTACAAAATCATTTCCAATATTAAAAAGTTACATAGAAGGAGCTAGTCCAGTGGTGGGATTTTGCCGGTTCTAGGCGGTTCGGCCGTTTGTTAAATTGCTGGGTCGCCCCGCCCCTTCGCACCACTATTTATTACCAATAAATAGTGGTGGGCGAGGGGCGGGTGACCTAGCAATTTAACAAACGGTTTGGTGTTTTTTTGTAATTTTATTGGCCCGCGAAGCTTCAGTATAGGCTAATTAGCCCATTGATTAGATCGGCCTCCCGACTCTCAGCTGATTTGCTCTCAGCTGTTTTGTGGAGGGCTATGCTGCTTGCTTGCAAAGAGTGCTGAGCTGATTTTTTTCCCCTAGCTATGCTGAAAAATGAAACTGAAAGTAAAACAGGCTGTTGGCTTTGCTGTTGCTGCAACGTTAGAAAATTAGGCAGGCAGATTTGTTTTCTTTTTCCTCACCAAAAAAGGTAGGTGCAAACAATGGGAAATTTTGAGGAGAGCTCAAGAATTTAAAACACAAAAGAAAAAAAGTTCTATTTAACTAGGGAATTGTAATAATTGAGATACTATTAATTGCATATTGTGTTGAAAGCAGAAATGGTTAAATTGTGGTTTGGAGGAATATATGGGGGAAATTATTTGGTTTATTATTATTGGTAAATATAATTAATTGATTTGTAAGAAATTGGATTGCATGGAAGTAATTGAAATATTCATGTTCATATTGATTAATATACAAAAAGTTAGTTGTATAACTAATTGATTTATATTAAAATGTTGAATTTATAATAAACAACTGTAATATTACATAATTAACCAATGTGAGGATGGATATAAAAATAGATGACAATGGGAAGGGGTATAATATAGAATAGAAGGGAAAAATTGAATTTGATTAAGATTAGAGATGAGGATGAAGGGTAATATTGGTTTTTTTTAAAAAAATAGATAAGGAATAAATATGGCAAAAAGGAAATATAGAAATTGTAAATTTAATTGAAATGACTAAACACTGTTTAAATTTGTGAACCGGCCAAATACTCTGTTCAAAGAAAATACATTGTATGTTTGTATGTGTGTTTCTAATTATTGCTATTTATTCATATTTGTTCTCTTTTATTCTTTAAAGTTTAACAATTCATTCTTTATCTTAATATCTTTATATTCGTTTGGGGTTGCCTTTCTTCCCTTTCATCTTTTTTATTATACAGCAATCTTTCTCCTCAAACCTACCACCTCTCTCTTTTCTTTCCTTCTTACTTTCTTTCCTCCCCCCGCTTCTTCTCCCTACTTCTTCTTCCTTTCTCCTTCTCCTCCTGTCTTCCTTCCTGTCTTACCCTCACTCCTACTCTAATTTCCCTTCCCTTCCTTCCTCTCTTCTCTTCCTTCCCTCTCTCTCCTTCTTTCTTCCATCTCTCTTCTCCTTCCTTCATCCCTCTCTATTGCTGTATCCTTTTATGCATATGGATTACTCAGAGGGCTGAAAAAGTTATTTTTGACTGGTCCTCGCACTTTTGACCATTCCTCGAACTTACGACTGTCCTCACATTTTACCTTTTTCGCCCTATCTTGTCACCATGGTGAAGAGAAGCAGTTGTGAAATGAGTGACACAGTTGTTAAGAATGCTACAATGGGCATAAATGATGACCAGTCATAAGGGTGAGGACCGGTCAAAAGTGCAAAGACCTATCAGAAATCACTTTTTTCAGCCCTCTGGGTGGTCTTTTTGTGCATATGGACTACTCAGAGGGCTGAAAAAGTTATTTTTGACTGGTCCTTGCACTTTTGACCAGTCCTCGAACTTACGACTGTCCTCACATTTTACGTTTTTCGCCCTATCTTGTCACCTTGGTGAAGAGAAGCAGTTGTGAAATGAGTGACACAGTTGTTAAGAATGCTACAATGGGCATAAATGATAACCAGTCATAAGGGTGAGGACCGGTCAAAAGTGCAAAGACCTGTCAGAAATCACTTTTTTCAGCCCTCTGGGTGGTCCTTTTGTGTGTATGGACTACTCAGAGGGCTGAAAAAGTTATTTTTGACTGGTCCTCGCACTTTTGACCAGTCCTCGAACTTACGACTGTCCTCACATTTTACATTTTACGTCCTATCTTGTCACCGTGGTGAAGAGAAGTAGTGGTGAAATGACTGACACGGTTGTTAAGAATGCCGCAATGGGCATAAATGTGAGGATGGTCATAAGTGCGAGGACCAGTCAGAAATGACTTTTTTCAGCCCTCTGAGTAGTCCCTATGCACATAGCCACGCCCACCCGCTCACATGACCACCAACCTACACACCCCAACTAAGCCACGCCCACAGAACCAGTTGTTAAAATAATTGAATCCCACCACTGAGCTAGTCCCTATGATATCTTTACTATACACTGCTCAGGATTCTAAAGGTCTTCATATCTCGAACTGTAGCGAGTAACCAATGTTTTGAAGACTGATGGGAAGTGTTCAATTAACATGATGCTAATTGTTAGTCTGCCCTATTTAGTATTGTGTATATTTTTGGGGGGGGTTACCTTTGAGCACAGCCTCAAATACAAAACATTTTAATGATCTAACAGGAGGCAACCACAGCATGAAGTTAACCTGTTATTACAACAAAGCCATCTCAGCCTAGAAAAAACTGTAATTGGCATAACTGTTTTAGAGTGAAAAATGCTAGACTCTTCCAAGGTCACTGGGCTTTAAGTGAACAAAGGATCTATTTCAGTACAACAGACTTGTTCCTTATGGAGAGAGGCAGCACAGTTCAGAAATGGCAACATATCATTTCCTGGATCAGATTCACTATCTAACAGCATTTTCACATTGTCAGATTAATTGCCACCCACTCAGCTGCTTTCCTCTAGAAATGTTAATGAGTGTTGAATTAGTACACGGCTCAGAGAAGAGATTAAAATTAGAGTTTTATTATTATTATCATTATTATTGCTGCATTCTGCCAGTACTCAGATCACACAAAGGAAAAGAATGAATTGTCCTCAAATTTCATTCGTAGGATGAATAAAATCAGAAAGAGTTCATTCAGCCTGCCTGGCTGCCTCATTGTTAGCACAGACAGGCAACCATTTCTTGAGGGCAAAAACAGATAATGTCA